ACCCTAATCGTGCTCAAATCGAGCTCGAATCGTTGTCGACAAACCTGGAAATATGGAGTTTTTTTCCGCCACTTCCAAGGAAACTCCTGCCGAAAACCGGTTTTTAGACGAGTTCGACATGCATAGCTCATACCTTGAAATGATGCACAATATTATTATTTACTCAAGCCATTTGGCTCAAGGAGATTAACATGAAGCTCTTTTTCATTCGGGATTTCATGGTAGGTTAGGTCGCCAAAGGCTGCTATTTGCTTGATATGGACGTCTCGAATGTAAATGAGAAGTCCCTAAAGTCTTTAAATTTCCTTCTTAGAACATTAAAAAATATAAGCATTTTGAATGGCAGTAAGGAAGGTTAGAAGTTAGTATTACTAAACTGGGACGAAAATCAACCTAACATCGTCGTAAATTGCTGGTTTCAGTATTTCAGACAGTACATTTTCTTCTAAATAAACTCCATATAATTTGCGCAAAGTTTTCCTCATAGAACATTCAACAATATGGAGTAACGCTTTTCTCCATCGACAGTATGTAGAGCGGTCATACTGCAATGGCTTTCACCGGCCTATCGCGGTTTCAAAGGGAAATTGGCCTATTCCATTTTGCATTAGAGACTGGAGTTTGGAGCGTATCGAGACTATCGAGTAACGACGAACAATTAATCACCATGGAGTATACCTCCGGAAAAGTATAAGTAGCCAATAGAGTTCTAGAAAGCAGTTCAGAAGAAGGAGATGCGAACACTGGAACAAGAGTTTTATTGTCCTGGCGTTTCGAATTCCGTCGGGAATCCTGAATCATAAGTAATGGCTCAGACTATTGTACCATTACCTCTGATTAAGGGTTCCCGACGGAATCTGAAACGTCAGGACAATAAAACTCTTGTTCCAATGGTCGCATCTCCTTCTTCTAAATATAAGTAGACTGAAATTACGATTTCTGACTTAGTAACAACCACAAACCCTGGATACTTCAGGCCCAGGAGCTTGCGTTTCTGTGACCTGAATCCCGGTTTAGGGATTCGGAGCTTCAAGACAAAAAGAATGCCAATTTTCGTTATACTATCACGATATATCAATGCACACCAATGTTGAACGACGGCGTCTTTCTGAAATAAGTGCAGCTGGTTAAAAGATAAAAATTAATGAATGAAGATGTATTCTAAGATTTCGCATAAGCTGGACCTGAGAAAGTTTTTCATATGATTATTTTAGTGTATGCGTGTGGTTGCCATTAGGGGATTGAAATTTTATGCAAAAGCAAGTGGGGGAACCGGAGCATATTTTGATTGTTTCACTAATGTTCTGCGTAGACATCTTAATGCCTTAAATGTGCATTGAATTCACCTTCGGGAGGATTCTCCGCGGGACTGGGACGTTTGAGCATTTGTTCGAGGGTATTTTCAGCCAGCACATTGACAACTGTGTTTGTGATCGCAGCCGTCGCCTCGTCCGTGTAGGCGTCTGTGATAGAGAGCACAGTATCCTGGTAAGCTGATCAGTGAAACTTGACGCATACAGCTTTCAAACAACAGATCTTTCAACAGTCCCAACCGATGATAAAATCAAGCAGGGAGGGGATCGAATTAAGCCCCTTTTGCTCTCATTCATGTTCTAGTCTGATTACAGCGTTTAAGGACTTCAAAAGTCGAACTAGGCTAGGGCTTATGTGACAGGGTTACCGCTGATAGACGTAAGTCAGTTAAAACATGTTTCGCATGCAAAAACGTCTTAAAACATTACTTGACTGGATAGTTACTGGTTTGCCATCATAATTCAAAAGAAAAACATCCGAATTCTAACCTCCTATATCCAAAAATGACATGATTTTTCAAGATGATGACTGTCTTTATCCGACAGCTTTTTGGTAAAAACAATGACAACAGGAGTATCACCGAATTGAGGCATTAATAGGCTTCATTTGTGGGAAGGAACATGTTCGAAATAAGTGCCTACTGATTGCATTTTCCAAATATTTTGCAATAAAACAGATTCATGTTGCATATCATATAAGAACGCAAAAATTCCTATATGTCAAAAAACCTCTGGCAGGGAAATTGCGCGCATTTAGTCCTCAGGGGATTGGTCTATGCTTATTACTAATTCAAGTAGTAGGGCAAAGTGGATGATTACTTGTTTTTATTTCATCGACTTCTCGTTTCTTCTGCTCAGATATAGTCTGAATAGTCTTGGTTTCCGTCTCCTCGCGAACCTTGTCGAGGAAAGCAGTGCGCATGGCTGTCAGTTCCTTGTGCAAGAGCTCATCCAAATCAATGTAGCTGGTATTGTAACGCTCCGAAACTAGTCTTGCGACCGAAGAGGCGCCTGCAGTGACGTGACCGACCAGGGCAATCCGCACCGGAATCACTGGTTGGGGAGCAATGAGGAAAGGTCTCGGATTTCGAATGAACTCCTCATAAGCCTCATAGGAGGAAAGTAGGAAGATTTGGCCCAGAAAACTGCAAAGCAAGTAATAATATGCAAAGTCTCAACAAGACGCTTGTGGGGCTATTTGAAAACATAATTTTGATGGCAAAATCAGTTAAAAACCGAGAAACCTTTGCGGGTTCGCCTTATATAACTCAAAAATTTTTACATTCGAGACTTTGCTTCCATTATACTGTGGAATAGTACTGTACATAAAACAAGGGTATACTTCTCATAGGATGGTTAGAGCCTCGAACTTTTAATTAACAGATCATGGGTTCGAGGCTCGGGGGATGCACCGCCTAGGGGTTGAGTATGGCTGGCTGATGACGGTCAATAGACCAGAAATGGCCATTTCAGTCCTCTTTGTCTTGGTGGCAATGATCCCCTGCCATAAAATATATATTTTCTTATAGAAACTTTAATTCCATAGTCTGCCAAAGTGGATTTTTTGGCTGCTGACCAGTCAACATAAAGTTCTCGCGATTTGGCTGACTGTGGATTATACCAGAGGCCCCGGCTATGTTGCTGAGGCCTCTTGTCCTACAGAAGTCAAATATCTGCATCCATTAAGCAACCTATCGTAACCAGGATGAAAATGCAGAGATACGATAATATTGCAGTTTGCTGCAGTCCTGATTACCCAACACTAAATTGAGCCTTTCCGTTTTCCAAGATTCCATTGTACAGCTGGACGGGACAAAGACTTTGCCAGGGACTGATTTGCCAGCGGGCATGTTCCGTCGGCATGCGTTTGGTAGCCAGCGTTTGGATCAACTCCTCGTATTCCACGTCTTCAGGCACTTCCTCTTCGTCCGTGGGAGGAAAGAACTGATGTGGAGGGACAGCAGGCCTCACGGGCAGTGCCCTGAGTTGCGTCATCACGTTCTAAGTTGAAAAGAAAGGGCGCATCTAACGATTATAAATCAAAGGGATGATAAACAGTCACAATAACTTGCAATTCGAAACTTAATAATCGTCTGGTGCAAGCTGTATATGAGGCCACGTTCAATGACAAGCGATTGTGGATTAGGGGCTGCTGTAGCTTTGTAGTTTTCTCTCACAGGAGCTCGGATAAGTGAATGTAACAAAAACACCAAAGTCGTATAGAAGGGATTCATCGTAGGGCCGCCCCGTTGCAAAAGTCTCCCAGTCCAAGTGTCCTACGGAATTCGTGGCTACAGGTTTACTGGTTAATTAATGCGTGATAAGTGCACAATAGGGAATACATTAAATCCGCGTTTAATTGTTTTACGTAGCTAAAAACGTAGGTGAAACGGTTGCGAAAAGGACAAAAAAGACTGAAAAGAAAGTCTACAGATCAAGAAAACTACTAGAACAATTATAGGCTAACCTAATCAAATGTGTTTGGATATGTAGAAATTCGGCCTAGTGATACTTTGCAAGTAGTTATTATTATTATTATTAATACTTCCACTCAGGCGGCCCACTATGAATTCCTACCAGTCGTATATTATCATTTCGTTAATGTGGGGCTTCAGAACACGAAGATAACATTGTTGTAAAAGAGTTCACACCATGAGTAGAATGCAAAATTTTGTTTTACATCTCATACTCAAAACCTTACTCCCAGCTTCTGTCAGCTGCAATTTGAGCGTATAAAAAGCAGCATAATTGTAAAGACTAAAGAAAGGCCAATATGCTCTTCTTATGCTCAGGTCGATACTATGCCTCTTATAAATTTTGAGCGAAAAAGAACTACAACTAGCATACATTAACCTATCACTTTTCTTTAAAAGATTGATACATACACATACCAAGTACATATCAGATGGGGAGCTGTTTCCATCGACGGAGATGACATTGGTAGGCGGAAAACTGCTCATATATTCTTTTAACTCTTTCTTAACTACCGTCCTATAGAGATTAAACTGCCGATCAATCGCTTCTGGTGTGTCCTCCGGTCGAACCAGCAGTCTCTCCAGAGTCTTTTTGTCCAGCCGAGGAAAGTCAGGATGACTGGGTAAGTTCTCATCGCCCTCACCCAGCTCTTCGTCCTCTGGCTCACCTTCTTCCTCGGCGTCCTCGCCCTCCCCCTCCTCTGCCCCACCTTTCAGCAGCTTTGGGGGCGCTTTGGCCACTGGATCAGGTGGGACAACTGGTGGATCCTCCATGTAAAATTTATTGTATACCAGTCCTTCATCGGGATCAAAGCGATGTGATTCCAGTCGCGGGCGAAGGTCGGCGTCCGGAATCTAAACTAAGGCGAAGGCAAGACTCAATAAATGAACTCAAAAATGTAAACCTTCGGTTTAGTATCCCGAAGCAAAGTCACAGGGACGTCTCTATTGTCAGTCATTTTTGTCAAATACTGCAAAGTGGCTGTAAGGTACTCGCTTACAGTCACGATTCGCAATAAACCCCAAAAGGGATTATATAGACTTGTAGGTCGCTTTTCTTGTTCTTCCAGAAGTTCTTTCAGAAATGTAGTCTTTGCGAGCCGTCAGCTGAAATGGAAGTCAAGATATCTGCAGTGATATCGAGCTAAGGTTGTCTCACGGGACCGGACTCCACTATCTACGTAACGTCGTATTCACAGCATTAACTATAAGCGGCCGTTGAAAAATCAATTTCGCCATAGGTTTTCATTTTTCAGAATTTGAGATGTGCAAGTAAGCCTTGGTAGAGAAGAAGGATCTCAACCGTCCACGTATCATGCGTTCGCAGACTTTTAATAAACTGCTCGAAAAGGGCTCTTAAACATTCCTTTGCAACGATTATTTGCGAAAGCCTTTCAATTTAGTTGTTTTACTTTACCTAACGAACAATAATAATGCCTATGGGAGCATAATGTCAGTCAGAAGAGAAGAGCATAGGCATGCGCAAATTGAATGTCTGATGGGATTTTTTTGATGATAACCACCAAAGTTAACTTTACCTTTTACAAATTGACTCATTTTACTTTTTACTGTTCAACATTTATTAATCTGAAAGTTAAACCATTAGGCGTATCCAAATAGGGACTAAGGTAACTAACAGTTTCCTCTTGGTATTTGATTTTTGCCTGCAGGTCCGTCACGAACTGGGAGTACAAGAGTAATAGATTAAGCAAATGTCTTGGGCCGCCACTACTTTTATTTCATTAAAAGTAATGTGGTTGAATCAAAATGGAAAAAATTAAATTACAGATGACTGTCAATCTAACAAATGCCTTATCGTTACACTAAACCTTGATGAGTGGTCCGTATATATAGTATATCAGTTAATATGCATAAAGATTCAGGGTCCAGATATCATATTGCGTTCATCATTCCCCGGAAAAGAGGGATCAAGAACTTAAACACAATTTGGTCAAAGCATTTGCCCCTTATTCTTCCTCTCCGGGAGATGATGAACGCGATACTTTATCACTATTCGTTCTTCAGGAACGTAGTCGGCTTTAATTTATATTCATTGCGATTTCTATCTTTCAACATACTATATCACTATATCTGTAGGCCATATGCACCTCCATGAAAACCTGAGGTAGAACTCCGCCGCCGCTTATACCTTATTTCCACATCCCATCCCACAAAGACCTAACGTCCAACATCACATGCCACGTGCTCGCAACCAGAAGCTCTCACGCGAGAGGGAAGTATGTTCCTCCGTAGCTTCTCTATGTGGCCCCTCGGCTGCATGCGTGATCAGAGCCTGAGACTATCACGGTTTAACAACAACTGTGACCTTGAAGGCTGCCAACTGATGTTATTTGTTTAGTGGCTGACCAGTGGACTGGGAGTCAGGCGGCGACGGCTCCTTTTTGCACTTTGGTATTTGGTAATCCTGATGTGTATCAAGGAACAAGGTCATGTTGTAGCGTACGTAGACGGCTTCACCACCCCCGCAGCCACTGCGTCCACCCTAGGCCAGACAACTGACCGGCTCGGACAGAAGCCTGAGGCCGGAGGTAGAGGATAGAGTGAGGACGTCGGCTCAGCGCACTTTCCTCACTATAAACAATCCAACGTGCTTGAAGCTATCACGGTGCACTAAAAGACGTGGCTTATAAGGTGTTCCATTGACGGGATAACACGGACCGCCTGGTCAGCCCAGCGCGTTTTTGTGCGGAGTGGTTGACTGAGTCGGGCCGCAATGGCCCCTCCTAGATGTGGCATTCACGTCCCTCTCACTCAGATGAGATCACGGTCAGCTGTGGTGGCACGCTTAGGGACGGATCCGGCTGCGCCAGTCAAACTAATTAATTGAACGATGGTCATTGACATCCTAAAATGACCCACCAATCCTTTAACAAACCTTTATTCGGCATGTGCTGTCTTTGAGTTAGGCATCGAATTATTATTAGAAACCGTACGTCTTCTAGTAGTAGGCCGTCTCGATGGTAGTCAACATCTGAACGAATTGTCGACTAAAGAATCTTGTAAGTTTCCTTTCAGTCTTTAAATGCACAAAAAGAGGGTAACAATATTAGCCACGATGTTGCTGCTCATCACAGAAAACGATGGAAAATGGTCAATGTTCAGTGGGGAAAATAAAACAGGGCAAAGAAGTGACAAAGACTTAATGAAAAAACGCAATCACTAACATTGTGACCTTTTTATTTTTGCGTTTTAAGTGCTCAAATCTCCAAGTCATCCAAGCCACGATAAACAGGTTGAATTTCAAAATATTCGGAAGCTGCATACCAAATTATACGATAAACGTGAACGTGCCGATTTGTGTGCTATTCAAAAAGCCTCCTGGCATATATAGCACGAAAAGTCTTGAATATTTATTCTTAAGAATTTTTCCTAATTACATCTCATATTTCCCGCTGCATAAAACACTTGGCAAGAAGTGCTTTTATTCGGTGTAGTCGACAAAGTCATAGATCTCACATACTCGAATAATGCCAAGAGATGTCGAACGGTCGGTCTCCAAATTTAAAACATTTTAAAATTATAGGCTTGCCAAAGGCACAATAGGCAAACATACATTCTTTCTGTTTTTTAACGTGACTATCCTTCGGTTCATCAGACTATGTAACTAACAGTTCAATAGAAATTTCCGGCCAAATGACAGATGGCGAACTAGCAAATGTACCAGAGGAATTAAGTCAAAGAGTTTTGTACTAATTAAGAGGCACTAGATTGGCCTACAATTATTAATGTAAGTATAATGCATTCGATCAGAAGCAGATTGTGGAAACAAAGATGCTTTAAATGTCAGAAGCTGAGGTAGAGTAACACAGTTTTATGTTACTTTACAATGTAATGATCCCAGTGGATCGCAGATGAAGTGAAGAAAACATGACTGACTTTATTTTTACCGTCCACGTATGACCTGCGTCTCTTCTGTTCATGTAGAAACATCGCTTTATAATCCTTTCATCTGTGTGCAATTTTGTGACCAGTATAATAAATAATTACGTAAATTTTGGTTTGCTATACGTTACACGCTACAATAATAATGACGTCTGTTGCTTCATCTTCTTCAATGCCTATTAGGCTACAGTGTTTTATAGTGTACTCTCGTAAGCTCATTATCATTCTAGTTTACTCCACAAAAATTAGCCTGTTACTTAAAACGTCGATGTTTTAGTAGGTATATTCACCATAGTTATTTCTCCTTCAAGTCGAAAATTTGGGTACGTTTGAAGTACTTTTGAATTGCATTCATTAAAATCTATCACCCATCTATAAGGTCGCCTTTTACCTCGAACATCTTACAAGAAGGAACATAGCGGTATTTTTATATTATAGCAGAGATATTACAAAGGCAAACCAAGGGCTAACAGGCGATGACAAGCTAAATATTTCTTAAAGTAAAAGATTGTAGTCAACATAAACTGTTTCTGATGGCAATCGGGTTTCAGAAACTAAACAGCAGTATCTACTAAAAATTATTTAATTTGAAGAAATAGGTGTTAAAAGAATTGACGGTTAAGGAAAACGCAAAGAAAAAAGTCTCATTAATTCGCCTTTGCGAATGAAAGCGTATTCGTGATCTAAATTTACAAGTGCAGAACGAAGTGAAATATTAGGCCAGAAGTCTACCTAGCAGCTGTGTTTCCTCTCGAATAGCCTTAACTTTATCGTGCGCAAATGAAGCATATGGAATTCTAAAGTGCACTATAATTAGGCTCGGCAGTAGGATCTTCCCAACATTAATGGCATTCAGAAATAAATTCGTCACTCAGGCAAATCGGACGGTCGAGCCAATTCTTTGGTTCAAAACGTCAAACTATTATGAAAAATAAATAAGCGTGTAAATTTAACTGAAAAATCTTATATTTCTTACCGTTACGTATATAACATAATCCGGGGGTAGGTGAGTCGATTTAAGCATTTTCATGATTTCGTCTATTCCTTCGTATGCTGGTAATCCATCCAACACGTAGCCATAATGGTGGGCTTCAGGAGACTCAATGGCACCCTTCAGAAGTGCTAGAGTCGTATCCCCGGGGACTTCTTTCCCAGCACTTAACTGACTCTGAAGGAATTTTCCTAGTGGCGCATTCTCGTCCATATAATTCTGAAACAAGTTCAGAGCTAACACATCATACAAAAAACCGATCAACCTACGATTAATGTACTTGCATTTCCATTCGATGGCTATTTTTTTGGCAAGCGTCGTTTTTCCGCAAGCCGTCTTCCCTATAACGATGAAACATGTCGGTTTCTTTAATAAAAAACGTTCCCTAGCCTACCTAAATGCGTGAAAAAAAATATGCTTACTAAATCTTGATCAATAAAGAATTCATCTGGTAAACTAAATTCTGTCCTCTCAAATGTCTCTGTGCGAATAAGTTTGGGAGTATTTTCAACTTCAACCATCATAAGTCATCGCTTTATTTGAAAAAGGCGGCGCGTTGCCATAGTACTGCATGCCTCCACTCGATTGATGTAGTAGATAATGGGGACAAAGATGGTGTCACGGGCAATCATAGCCTCGTCTTTATTTATTTGACATGAACGCAGAAAGTGAATACAAGATCCCTCTGGAAGTTGCCTGTAGGAACGGAATATAGGCTGAGGCTAACAATCTAATTTATGTCGCCCATCACTGAATCTTATCCAAGAAGTAAACACTTTTACCACTCCAAGGACTCCATATCTGTCCAACTAATTCGAGATGTGGCTGCACGAAGCTTCCTTACATTTTCAAGAAGCTGTATTTTCAAATCTCATAAAATGTCGCCAATAAGCTGCAATAAAGACATGCCCGTCTTAGCTGCCTAGTGTAGTTCAGATTTAGTTTGAGTAAAGAATTAATCCACACACCAAGTCATTTTACTATATTCTTGTCGCAACGGTGTGTCGCTTAGAAAGTAAATCCTCGCACCGGAGGTTCTTAAGCGGCAGTTTGGAAGGATGTCGCATCAACTAACTTTGAAATAGGTAAGTTACTATTTTTACAATTTCTATTGTTGTTCAATTTTGTTCAGAGGCTATTTTTATCTTACGTAGTTTGAAAAACTGTCCATTACTTTAGTTCCTTGCTGAATGGAGTGATATCACAGTCCAGATTACTGACACACTCATTGGTGTAATCCAGGAATTAAGTGGGACCTAAAACTGAACCCCTTTCGACGCCATTCATCACAGGTACCACGAGGATCGCTGGCGTCCGACTTTTACTCTTTGGGACCGTCCGGTAGTTTGTTCCAGTATTCAATCACCATGTGGGAAAGGAATTTGGTCTGAATTTCAAATTTGGCATGGTGTTTCTTCAGTTTCTGTTGGTGACTTCGGAGGTTTGTTATTTGTGGCAATTCAAAAAGGTAAATCATCTGCAGAGCACAGTCTACTCCTCTGACGAACTTGAAGACCATGATGATATCTCCCCTGTATTCTCTAAAACAAGGGAAAACATATGAATCTGAGCAACCCATTTTTTTGCTCTCCATTAAGTCACTTTAAGTCACTTTATTAAGGGAAGAAGGCTTTCGCCCTTGA